AAAGACCAAAGAGGGAAAAAACACACCCAGGAGACTATTACAGAGAGAATAGCACTCGATGTGACACCATGGAGGAACACAAATAAACAAGACAAAACTTGGAATTGRCTTAGTGTGGTACCATTCTTGAGTGCCTTGAACAGAACTGATCCAGTCATCATGGAAGATGCAYTCTTCTGGCTGAGGGGCCATATATTTCTCCACATATTCTATTTCCACCACTTCTTCCTGAGCTCACAAGCAAAACAGTTATTTAGTGATTTAGTGTGGKTTTTTTAATCAGTAACAGTAAAATATAATTGCAGTGTGGTACATATATACAAATTCATTGAGCAAAGATCTTGGTATCCAAGTCCATTGCCACATCAATAGAACTAAAATATTTAGAAAAAAAAGGTGTGAATTATACTGCTTTCCATATTATATATTAATTGTATATTATCTATACTAATATTAATAATAGCAAGCTGGAAGCAAAAACAAGTGGTTTCACTCTTCTTTACATTCCTCTTCTATATTTACAAATATAAAACTTGTTTCTAAAACACTTTGCAACATTTTCTAGAGGTAGCATTACCCTCCCCATTACCACCCATCATAAGAGATTAACATATATTAATGATGAAGGGAATAAGACAAGTTCTCTGTGAACTGTATGCAGACAACAATTTGGATAACCATGTTCCTTGCATTGCTTGCTCTCTGTAGTCTCTAATCACTGCAGTTCAGAATGGACACAGGGAATTCTCCTGGGCGAGTCAGAAAATAAATAAAACTGAGCAAGAAAATCTATCTAGCTGACATGTAATACCTAAATCAGATTGAATTAAACTAGTAAGTCTGTTCTRCTGTCCAAGAAGGGGAGAAATGGAATATGACTTACCGTGGAAATATTTTCCATTTCCATGTGTGTGACCAGTGGCACTCGCAAGAACTGGCCATTGATAAGGAAGTCAAATTCCACATACTTGTGATCCGCTGAAACAAATTAGGAAAAATCCACGTTCAGGTGTCACTATTTATTTGATACCATCAAGAACAGCATCATTTTGTGACTGGTTCAGGAAAATAGAGTTAGGATGCATTTAAAAAAAGACCCAAACATACACACCCAGCCACTCCCCAACCAAAACAAAACCCCAAAGCAAATTACAAGAACAGAAAACACAACCACTTGGTTTCTTCTCCYGATTTTAAGTGGGCAACCCATTACTTCCACACGATTATTTAAGTTAAGAGGAAGAAAAAWTTGCTGTTGGTGTTCAAAGAGTTGTTTGCCTCTGTAGCCATGTGTAACCAAACCCCAGTGATGCTTCCTGACTGCTCTGCATGGATCTTGGCACTTTTGTAACCACCAACTAGAGCCCTGTATTTGTGGCAGCAGTAGGAAAGCCCTAAGAATTTTTTGTAATGGCATAAAATACAAAGGCCCTGCATTTTAGCAGAAGCACTACACTGTGTGCTGGTTTTCTCTACTCAAGGTCGTTTGCAATTTCATGGGTCAAAAGCAACTTGCAGAAGTCTCAAGAAGCAGGATATAATACCACTGGTCCCGTTTCTTATGGAAATCAGGATCTTCCAACAACATTGCCAAAGTGTTCTTCCCCGGATAATCTTTCAAGTCAGTCAGGCCCATTTCAGCACTGACAGAATGGCTCAGTTTTTTTTAAAAGCTGTCATAAAACCCAAACATTTGGTTTCATTAGTTCTTGTACCAGGTTTTGGGCAACGCTTCCCTTCCCATCTGCTGTGGCAGCCTGGCCTGTGGCGCCAAGGTGCATTTCTGCCAGGAATGGCTAGCAGCCCGGATACCTGCAGGGTTTCAGATCAAGTTCCAGGAGTGCCTTACTGTAGGCAGTCAGGCCAAAGAGAGGGGCAGAAGGGCTCGGGCTGTCGCTGTCCCCGGCTGTGACAGCCCCCGCGTGGAGCCGGGCCCAGCCCGGCCGGGCATGAGGGAATGCCGTGCTGTGAGGGAATGCCGTGCTGTGAGGGATGCCGTGCTGTGAGGGATGCCTTGCTGTGAGGGATGCCGTGCTGTGAGGGATGCCGTGCTGTGAGGGCCGCCCCGCCGCGGGACCTACCGTGCGCTGCCGCCAGCAGCTTGTTGATGAGCTGGCTGAGGTCGGTGGTCTCGGAGGCCGCGGGCACCGAGAAGGGAACATCCTCCACGGCGAACCTGCGGGYACAGCGCGCCGTTACCGCCTCTGCGTCACCCGCTCCCCGAGCCCATCCCCAGCCCGGGAGGGGAGAACTCTCACCTGCGGTTCTCCGTGCGGAACCGCGCCGTGAGCTGCGCCATGGCCGGTACCGGCACCGAGCACGTGTCCGAGCCCCCGCCCGCCGCGGGAACGCGCACCGAGCACGTGTCCGAG